AAAATGATGCTATTTACACTAAGGGTAAAACTACAGAGAAACTGGAAGGAAGGGACAAAGGATCCATGAACTATAGACAACCTGTTTGGGGTGAGGGATACAAGCCAAAAGCTGGAAGTTCAGGATCCCAGACTGGTGGTAGAAATAATTCAGGACAGCAGGGCACTCAACCTTGGTTTACTCCCGATGGGAAGAAGGAAACTGAAATAAATTCCCCAGACATAGAAAGAGTAGGGCCACACCTGACACAAGAAGAATACCAAGATAGAAGCCGGAAGGGACTTTGCTTCAAATGTGGTGAAAGATGGGGAAGAGAGCACTCATGCAAAATGAAGAATTACAAACTGATTTTAGTGGAGGACTCCGAGGGAGAAGAGGAAATAGTTAACCCAGAAGGGGTATCCCTGAAGAAGAAAAGATCACCATGGAATTTAAGTCCATGCAATTGTCCTTCATGAACCAGGACGGAAAACCCTCTACGGGGGCTTTTAGGGTGCAGGGGATTCTGAAATGGGCTAAGGGAGAGAAGCTAGTGGATGTTCTAATTGATAGTGGGGCCTCACACAACTTCATATCCCAGAAAGTGGTAGAGCAGTTAACCCTCCGTTATCAGACCATTGCTGGCTACCAAGTGCAGCTTGGGAATGGTGATAGGGTTCAACAAGGGCAGGTGTGAAAAACTCATTCTGAGCTTGAAGGGAGCTGTCATTCAACAAGATTTCTACATGTTGGAGTTGGAGGGAGCTGACTTGGTTCTTGGCATGGATTGGTTGACTGGATTGGGGGATGTGGAGATTAACTTTCAGAAGCAGAGCATAAAGTGGAATCATCTGGGGATAAGTCAGACAATTCAAGAGATCCTAAGTCAAACTCTATGGAGGCATCTCTGAAGACCACGTCACAAACTGTACAGGAGAATGGTGTGGGCTATCTTATCTACTGGGAAGGCAGAAAATGGGATGGAGAGGGAATTCAGCTGAAGGATTCCAATATGGAAGGAATTGAGGGGAAGAGGAAAATTGATTACACAGTTGAAGTTGGTATGGGAGTTCTTATAAGGGTTCAAACTGGTTTGTTCCTGGATCCATTTAGAGCTGCAACGCCTCATAGCAGGACTGCCTTAGAACCCTTACATGAAGAGGTTGGTTACAAGGAGGAGGCTTCAAGTGTAATTCTAGGGAATTTTTATACCCAGTTTATGCCCCTGTTGGCTGTGGAAAATGTGATGATGAAAGTGAAAGAAATGAAGCTCCTAGAGCAGAAAACCAAGAGGTACTAGGAAGGGAGAGGTTCCAAGATGAAGAGGAAGTTCAAGATCAAGGCTGTGTCTTATTACCCACCTTGAGGGCAAGGTGGTTATTTAGGGGGGGAGGGGGTAATGTTAGGAATCTGCCTATTTAGTATTTTTAATAGGGTATTTGAAAGGAGAAATAAAGGGGCTGGGGGTCAGTTTAGTAACTACTTTAGCTATTTTAGTCCCTGCGTGGACTTGATGCTATAAATAGGAAAGGGGAGTAGCGTAATAGGGTAGACTGTTATTTTAGAATCAAGTGTTGCCTTGTTGCCTAAGAAGTCCCCGTTGCGTTTGTTGCCTACGTTGAGATATTTCCTAGCAATAAACATCATCTTCACTATCATTTTATCAGATCTGTGTTGCTTGTTACTGTTTGTGCTCAGATTATTACCAGGTTCCTATCAGGACTGGGAATTGGGAGAGTGAGACTGTTAGGTAACTAGCTAATTCACGGTGAATTCAAGAAACAAGATGAAGAAAGAGATGGCGTATCATGTGGAAGTGTCGTATAACAGAAAATGTAGAGAGAGAAATACAAAGGCAGTTTAAGAGTGCCCACTCTCCAAGTCCCAAGCCCAAATAACAATTCCAACCACCTTTCTATTCTACCCTCCACCTCTATTTATAGTAACTATTCTAATATTATTATTACTCTCATTTATTATTATTCTATGTAGGTCCCTAACATTACTCCCCCTTCGACAACCCACCTTGTCCTCAAGGTGGGTGATAGGAGACAATCCTGACGAACAGCTTCTTCTTCATTTTTGCACCTCTTCCTTCCCAATACCCATTGCTTTCTTTAGTGTTATCTTCAGTGCATGAACTTCCAAAATCACAGTTGTTATTGCAGCAGGTGTCTCTATTGACCTTCCATTCACTTCAGCAGCCTTAGAGTCCTCTAGATTGATAAAGTAAAATTGCTTGTGATCCTTCTCTGCATTTTCTTTTGGGTGTGCCTCATAGGCATGCACATCCAGCACCTCCCTTCCAATATATTCAATGATAAAACACCTTTCAGATACTCCTTCAAGATTTTGCAGCCCATACCCCTTGTTTCCACCATTATACCACTCCAGTTTAGCATCCTTCCATCTCTGAAACTCTTGGTTCAAACCTTGCTCACCATAGTTCTCTTTTTCATATAACTTGCTAATCAATTCAACTGTTGGACTCAGCTCAACCCTTGAATCTACAAACCACTTTGATAGTTCAAACGCTTCACCTTTAGGTGCCTCCCCTTCTGCTAGGGTATGTGTGAAGCCAATCCTAGCACTCCCTTGCCCATTCATCTTGCATTTTGCAAGATACAGAAATAGATGGACAATAGCATTGATGATCTGTTGAGATATAGTCTGGATATTAAGGAGCATGAAGTTCATCTTCAACCTTGGGGTAAAAATATCTTGAAATTCAGTAACAGAGTGCAGCATCCCAGAAGTTGATTGTTGATTGTGCATTGCTGTTTCAGCCTCTTCATCTTTATTAGCAAACTTTTCTCCGCACACAATCTCCAACCAGGCTACAAGACCTCCATGTGAAAACTCTACCCCAAGTGGAACTTTTGCATCTGATATCCCAGAAAAGGGGTAAGCATGGTACTCTTGTGCCTCTGGACCAGTCCTACTTTTACCCTTGAGCTCACTAAGTTTTCCAAATGTAAGTTTGGTCCCATCAGATGAAACATGTGGATCTAAAAATAGGTCAAACATCAGGAACATGTCAGCATAACCATCAGTAGTGTAACCCACCTTTTTCTTCCAATTTCCAGTCATACTTACTTCCAGCCCCTTTTGAATATACTTAATAGAAGTAACACCATCAAATCTGAAGTTATCAAACTCATTCAGCCTTTCCAAAATTTCCTTTTCCAATTGATGGTGCACAACATTCATTAGAATATCCAGTTCAGGTTCAAGACTTATATCAATCCAAAATTTGAATACCTCTGAATTACAGCCTAGTATACTGGCATACCTCCTAGTATCATCGTTAAAGATATGTGTGTGAAACTGGTCCTCCTTATCCTCACCTGTATCATCGTTGGTCAGTACCAGGGCAACATCAGTGGGCGCTGGACTATTTGTTTCTTGATGGTAAAGAATGTCAACTTCGCTATTTTCTGAAACTGTTGGTGCCGCTTGCTTCAACTCAGTATTAATTTCCGGAATTATAGTCCCCGTAAATCCTTTTCCGGATGCGACTATGGTTATAGTTTCTGAAACGGATGATTCATGCGGGCATGTTGACACTTGACACTAGCGCACTGGGAGTGTCTTGCAATGACATCTGCGAATCAAGAAACAAGTCTTGCGCAGGGTGAGAATCTACTTGGGATGACGATAGATGATGCTTGGTTAGCAACGGCGAACTGAGAGAAACAGTTTGCGACTGCGAACTAGGAATTTCTGACTGCGACTCAGTCTGCGATTGTGAACTGGGAGGAGCAGTTCGCGATGGCGAACTGGAACCAGCTGCTAGCGACAACGAATTGGAAGAAACCGCTATCGACGATCTCGAATTTCCGGGTCTAGAGTTCCGACACCGCCTTATTGTTCTCGATCTTCCACGCGACCGACTATCTTTCCAGTTCAAGATTAGCTCGTGTAACTCATCGCGAGTGCGCTTGGTTTCTTCGCGCATCGCTTTGCGCATGGCTGCTTTATCACGCATCTCCTCTATGCGATTCTTCTCCAACACGCGTTTAAAACTTTCCAGCCTCTGGTGGCGACCACGAACAGGTAACCAAAAGCGTTGCTCTAATACCAATGTTAGGTAACTAGCTAATTCACGGTGAATTCAAGAAACAAGATGAAGAAAGAGATGGCGTATCATGTGGAAGTGTCGTATAACAGAAAATGTAGAGAGAGAAATACAAAGGCAGTTTAAGAGTGCCCACACTCCAAGTCCCAAACCCAAATAACAATTCCAACCTCCTTTGTATTCTACCCTCCACCTCTATTTATACAAACTATTCTAATACTCCCTCCAGTCCTAAATAAACTTCACACTTTGACTTCACACAAATTAAGGAAATAAATTTCACTTTACTGTAGAGTACACTGTTGTGACACTGTTTGGCACTGTTTGGCACTGTTTTGATGTAGATAATTTGTCAAATAAGGAAGGGAGAAGAAGTGTGAAGTTTATTTTGGACCTACCCAAAAAGGAAAGTGTGAAGTTTATTTAGGACCAGAGGGAGTATTATTATTACTCTCATTTGTTATTATTCTATGTAGGTCCCTAACAGAGACCTCTCGAAGAGTCTCAAATTGTTCTTCTTCTTTACGGTTTCAGTATTTTCTTCTCAACCGACATCTACTTTTCCTTTTACTATTCTGGTTCTTATCACTCTTCTCCATTAACTACCCTAACCAACCAACCCCCCACCGTTTCCTCACTTCCAGTCTTTCTACCATTCCTTCCAAATCATACCAAGAAAGACTTAAAATCTAATTTGACCAGACTGTCAAACTGAGATCATGGTGACAAAACAAACTTCATGTCAACAAGGAAATTGATGCAAGCAACACCTTCAACGGAACATCAAAAGTGGCTCCTAATATCAGGTCACTACGCAAAATCTAATTGTTACTGAAAAGATATATCAAAATGAAGCTTTACATGAAACAACTTTAGATTCACAAAAATAATCCACAAAAGGATAAGTCGATCAATGAAAAGCTTTTCCTCAAAGAAGAGTTACCTGGGCTAAGACAAAGGAAAAGGCGGTAAGTTGATTTAGATTTGTCTCTCTTAATGAAGCACTGAATGGTTCCATCCCGATGCCCTGGCTGTAGAGTCACAGATACATGAAATTATTAACAATGTGTATCCATCGTCAACACCCCCAAAAAAAGAGAGACATGCTTGTAATACAACTTAAGTAATACGTAGTAGTGTAGTACAAACAAGACTCTTTTTAATGAGACCGAAGGAGTAATTATTTCCCCCATATCATTACATATAAGTTCATGACTGCAGTTAACTTAATTTAGAAGAAAATAATTACACGTTAATGGTATGTTTGAATCCCAGAAAATTCTAGAGAAAGGGGGAGCGATGCTAAGAAAAGCTATGTATTGTGTCTGGTTATACCATAGAAATGCAAAACGAAATGAAATATGATTAATGCCTCTGAAACTTTTACTTATGTGTAGACTTATTAGTTTTAAATGGTACAAATAGATTAACAGAATGAGTTTGAACAAAAACAAAAAACAAATATATTGACATTGAGAAACTCTTTTAATTTCCCACACATTTTCTTTCCGGCCAAATTTCCTCTATAGCTGTTTTCATTTCCTAGCATGTTCTGTCTTCCAAATGAACCCTAAATTAAAGTGTAGGGAAATGTTTTTACCTGCTTAAGAGAGACAGGGAAAGTCAGCTTTCCTGATAACTCAGGAGTAAGAACAATTTCCATGCACATTACTCTCCATGCCCGGCAAACCCCAGCACAGGCAACAACATGCTTGCGGGTTGGCCATGTACTCTCATGCGTCTCAAGCCTTTTGATTACATCGCGAAGTAATTCCAGCGGAAGGCTGGCCCAACAGCTGCTTTGGGTGATGATGGCAGGTTGGTCATGCAACTCGTGGACTGCCCCATGAGACTTTCCACCCCTCTGTTGACTAGTCAATCTAATCTCGAAACTACGCCTTGATAAACTCCCAACACTATCCCTTATATCACGAGCTATACTTCTAAAAGACATTTACTTGCTTTATGTACGCTTGTCTTCTGAGATTAGTTCATCCAGACTAGATAGTAGATATACCTAAGAAAAGTATGGGTTTCAGACTTTCAGCCAAACAAATTATGCATACCTTAGTGACAAAGAAAACAAAGTGATGAAAAAGCACAGAGCAAGTCAAGAAGATTCCCTAACCAAAAGAAATCCTCAAATTGAGCACTTAAAGGTGTCTTATCCAATCTTTATAGCTCTAATTATTTTAAACGGAGTATCAGCTCACAGAACCAATTACAACTAGTTATGAACAAATATTACCCAACAATCTACAAATTAGAAATCAGGGGAAATAAGCCATTAGCAGCTTTTGTTTTAAGTTTTCTACACACAATACATCTGCTAATTTACGCAAAACAAAAACCACTAGTTCAATTAGCTTAGCTAACGGAGGTGAAAAGAAAAAACCCTAGACCTGAAAAATAACTCTCAAACTTCCCATCAAATCTTTGAACAACAAAAGGTAACTTTATCAGATGTTCACGCCCCACAAGAACTAGAATTGTTTCCACAACTGCACAGCTGATCAAGCGTTCAACAATCTCAGCAAGGGAAAAACGAAATTTTTACCTAATTTATACTCACATATAGGGAAGAACAGATAGTAGGAGCGCAAAAGTAAAATCTTTTTCAGTAAAGATAAATACAGCTTGATAGTTTTAAAGAAAATGATGGAAAGGAAGTTTCATAAGAAATAGCCATAGTTTTGGTAAGTCACTCATAATATCGGCTATTGATCAGCAATAGAAGAGACGAATGAATATAGAAGTGATAGAAACACATCCAAGTCATCCCAGCTGTACGAGTCGTACCTAGAAACCCGTGATAAATCCACTTCACCAGCTTCGCCTGGTTTTATTTTTATTTTTTGGCTGAAAAAACTTGGCGGCTTAATTATGGTTAGTTTGGTTGGTGGGGAACTTGATTTCTTGGATTGAAGTTCTTTTTTGGTCCGAAAAGGTGTAATCTCTCATCCCAAGAACCCTCACCTCGACTCGATAGGATAGTGGGGAGGTTAATCACGGTGACTCAGTCAGCAAAGTGGTGGTAGGTCTTATACTCCAGGTTTTGTCTTATTTCATGTTCTGTAACCTTCCGTCCTCCACACGTTGAAGTTCTTTTGTAAAGGTATATAAGAGTGACTTTTTATATCAATATTGAGAAAGTATGCGAAATAACCTTGGGGCAATTATTACGGATACGATCGTAAGTTCTAGAAATAAACATATAGGCGGTCACTTCATATAAAGCAATCTGACTCGATAGACATGAAATGATGATTTTAAGCCTAAAATGATTGAAACTGAAATATTGTCTATAAAAAATCCAAATATCTAAAACAAATCTAATTGAGCTAAATGAAAATAAGCACTACTAAAGAATTGGAATAAAATCTTTTTACAAAACTATTTTTGGCATGCATGTGGTTCTAGAGGAGAACGAGCTGCTACAATATATATGAATACAATAATACTCTTCTTACTTCGTTTCGGATAGATGTAAAAGCATGTGGAGTAAAAAACAATCTTTATGGCTCTACCATTCTTTACGTACCCCAAAACAAGAATAACAGAAACCACTGACCAAGTGAATCTAACCGAGACAGCAAAGCAACTCCCCACACCGAGAGAGACAAACACACCAAATTGCAATTGCCCAAGAAAGAACCGCCATAAAACAAAACAAACACAACATAAGAAGAACAGCCAAGTTGGGTCATACCCCTATTAAAACTCTCCGAGAGCGGATATCACCTACAAACGAAACAAGCCTCAAGATTCACCCCTAGGATGAGAGAGAGTCGAACTCTCCCTTTCCATTGCTCAGCCGCGCCCCAGCTACCCACCCCTGTTGTCGCCCATCTTGCTCCTTGTATCTTTTGTCGGCTTTGCTTCGGTCGCCCACCTAGCTTCCCCATTGCCTCTCTCACTTGTTGCCTCGTTCACTCATCGCTTGGCTCGCCCGTCGCCTGGTTCGTCGCCTGCATGCCTCGTCGCGACATAAAGGGTTTCATCCGCAAGAGAGTTTTGCTAGTTACCGAAGTATTACACGGATTGGATTGAAGCTCTTTGATGTTTGACTTTCTAGTGTATTTTGAAATATTCTATTCGTCCTATATACCTATGTTGCACGGATACAGATAGGCCGATACACGAATACGGGTACGGTGATACGGCAACTTCAAAATTATAGGATATGGGTACGGTGGCATATAAATAATAATAATAATAATAGTAATAATAGTAATAATAATAATATAGGGTATAATTTGCAAATTTATATAATTCAGAGGTCCATAAATAAAATAACAACAGTACCAAAAATTGACAATTATAATAAAATTTCAAAGATTAGACTAAAAAAGCTAAAGTACTAATATTTCGATTTAATATTATTCGGTTCTCTATTTGCATTTACATCTAACTCTTTTAATAAGGTTGATTTCAATTAATGTTCATCAAACGACAAATTGATAAATTGTAGCATTACAATATTTTTTGTACTCCCGAAATCATCTTTACTAATGTTCCACATCTTGTGGTCGCTTGGGCGACTACTAAATTTTTGTCATGTCATGTATGAAATCAGGGTTATAGGGTTAGATACGTGTATCGATTCATGGATACGGGTATCGGAAGTATCCATATTTTTAAAAATAAGTCCAATACTTTTATTAAATTACAAATACGGAACCAATTCGTACAAGACACGTATCGGTATTAAATACGTATCGGATACACGGGTACGACATCAGGGTGAAGTATCGGTGCTCCATAGCTATATACAACAACATCCAAGCCTTATTCCCAAAATTCTATTCGTCCTTTATTATATTTGAAAATTACTTTTTTTTTGTTTTCCAAAAACATTTCACTTCATCTTTTAATAAATTATTATGTGGTTCCTAACTTCCTACAATATCATTTATTTCTCTTCCACATAAATTTTATCCACACAACTTTTGCTTTAATATTTGATGTCCCGATGAAATTTGACATCATTATAAAGAACGGAGTGAGCAGCATACATTCGTTCCTTAAAATTTTGTCATCTTTCCCTTTTGAATTATCCCAAAAACTTTGTTACTTTCCATTATGATCAATTATTTTGTGGTTCCTATTATTTCTATCTCCTCTGCAAAAACATCAACCACAAAGTTTTTTTACTTTATTATTCTCTGTATCGGTTAATATTGACAAAGTTTTAAGAGACAAAGAGAGTTTGTGATAAGAACTAAGATTTTTGAAAAATATAATAAGTTCGCCTAAATCTGTATGACTTTTTTAATTGTGGAAGTCTGGAATATCAATAATATTCCGAACATGTTTGATAGATATAAATTTATACCTTCAAGAATTTTTGTCACGCCCCAGGCCGCATCTCGGTGCGTGTACAACCACTCTATGACCAAGTAACGTCAATCGCAAGTCAACGTATCTTAATCATACAAGGCGTCCATGAACATAATATATCCATACTCAGTAGTAAACATACACAACAACATCACAGTTTAGATTAATTGAATAGCGGAAATATTCAATAATCAATCGTGGGCCACACATGGCCAAAACATAGGCTCGCAGGCCAAAAACAATGTATTAACAAAGGTATCCATGAGCATAGTTTATCGTTTGAAATAGTAGAGGGGAGCACGAACCACGTCTTCCTCTGGATTCTCTTCACCCGTGTAAAGGTGTAGATGACAAGCCTTAACTTCAACCTGAAATGGTGGGGGGCCCTGAAGGGGTCAGTACAAGTACCGAGCGAGTAGCAGGCTAAATATAGAATAACTAGCGTTTCAAGTATAAGACCCAAACATAGGGTGATACTTATATAAATAGTCTCTTCCCCCAAGTTAAGAAATACTTAATAGTACATATACACTTGGAAAATACCCGATCCGTAGATCACCGTTTTATTTGGGAAAATATTAATAGTCAATATTCTTGACTAAAAACCCCAACCTACCCATATGTCTATGAGTGTATAGGACTCCTCCTTGCCCATATTTATATACCATAACCTATGAGTTTTGAGGATCATAATCCTTGGGTACTCCACCAATTTATAATCTGAGTGTTAAGGACTTTTCGTCCTAGGGTCCTCCACCAATATATAATCCGAGTGTTAAGGACTTTAAGTCCTAGCGTCCTCCACCAATATATAATTCGAGTATTAAGGACTTTAAGTCCTAGGGTCCTCCACCAATATATAATTTGAGTGTTAAGGACTTTAAGTCCTAGGGTCCTCCACCAATATATAATTTGAGTGTTAAGGACTTTAAGTCCTAGGATCCTCCACCAATATATAATTTGAGTGTTAAGGACTTTAAGTCCTAGGGTCCTCCACCAATATATAATTTGAGTGTTAAGGACTTTAAGTCCTAGGTAGGGGCGGACCCACCCTAGGGCTAGGGGGTGCCCTCCCCAATGATTATATATATATATATATATATATATATATATATATATATATATATATATTATTAATTTTTATTAACTTGGGCCCCTGCAGGCTGCAGCCCAATCCCAATTCCCCTTCCCCTTCCCCTTTCCCTGCGGCCCAAATTCCCGTTCCCCCGACCCTTTCCCATTCCCGTTCCCCCCTTTCCCAAATCCCGTTCGGCCGTTCCCCGCTTCCCCCAATCCCCCCTTTTGGCTTTTCCCGACCTGGCGACAGTCGGCTGCTGCCCTGCACGCAGCACGCTGCACGCGACTACGCGAGACGGCGAGAGGCGACTCAGGCGAGACGCGAGACGGCGAGAGGCACCCACCGCCCACGCGGCCACGCCAGGAAGTCCACCATCCACGCACTCGCGCAGTGCGGCCGGCCCACCGCCCACGCGGCCACGCGGCCACGCCAGGAATTCCACGCACTCACGCAGTGCAGCCAGTGCCGATTGCCGAAGCCCGAAGGTATGTTTTAATTTTTTTAAATTGTTGATTTGTTGTATTGTTGATGAAACATGAATGATTTATGCTTCATTGAATCATTGATTCCTATATGTTGTGTGACTTATCACTTATGGTTTAAATGTTGAATACTTGAATAGTTTAAATTTGAAAAATTATACTCATATTATTTCAAATTTCAATTGTAGTTGGTCTAGGTTGTGTCACAAACAATAGCTATGTTACGATATTTTTCGGCAATTCCGCCAAAAGCGAAACAGCCTATCATTGGTGGTTCTTCATCGAATAATTTAATTTCTTCATCGGGAAATGTCATTCCTAACAATGAGACTAATGTTAAAAAAGCTCGAATAGAGATTGAATTGTCGGATGATGACATTGTTGGTGATCCTGGATTGCGTAAGCCGATTGAGACTTATGATGTTAACATTAGAGATGAGTTGAGGAGACGTTATTTGACAAAAGGTCCTTGCCAACCGCGTGACTTTAAATTTACACAAAGTGATTTTAATGGGCGCAACAGATCATTCCAAAAACAGTGGTTTGATGAATTTAATTGGTTGGAGTATAGTGTTGCTAAAGATGCAGCATTTTGCCATTTGTGTTATTTGTTTGGTAGACATCATAAAAATGGAGATGATGCTTTTACTGAAGCTGGGTTTAATAACTGGAGGAAAGCTAAGGAAAAATTCCGTGACCACGAAGGAAGTCTAGAAAGCATGCATCATTATGCAAAAATTAAATGGTCCGGGTTTCAAAACCAAAAGAAAAATGTGGATTATGTATATTCACAACAAACCATAAAAGATGAGCTTGAGTACCGTGCAAGATTAACAACTATTGTTGATGTAGTTCGATTCCTTTTAGAGGGTGGTTTGGCTTTTTCGAGGTCACGATGAATCAGCTACTTCTACGCATAGAACGTGGTGAGGTTAGCACGGGGAAGGGGGAAATCAAGAAAAAAGTCTAGCACG